CACCAAGTGTCATTGAAATGTGATGATTACTACTTGAAATATCAAAAGCTGAAAATTAATTAATTATGCAAATTAGCTAATTAATATATACTGATATTACCCTAAAAACTATCAGGTTTGTGCAGTGTCCTATGACATCTATGTACCAAGTTTTATTGAAATGTGATGATTAGTAGCCGAAAATTTATTAATCATTATGCAAATTAGGTAATTAATATTGCACAGATTTTTACCCAAAACTAATCAAATCTGCACATTAGTTTGGAGCATCTGTGTGCCAAGTTTCATCAAAATCCAATGAGTGGTTCTTTAGATATCAGTGGAACAGCCATGGAACAGCTAAAAATCAGCTAATTATCATGCAAATTAGGTAATTAATATGCATGTATTTTTACCAAAACCTAATCAAATCTGCACATTGGCCCAGAGCATCTATGCACCAAGTTTCATCAAAAACTGATGTATGGTTCTTGAGATATCAGTGGAACAGACGGACACACACACACACACACACACACACACACACACACACACACACATACATACACATAGAGACACACTAACTGCAAAGACTCCCTTTTTGTGCTTCGCACATGGGAGTCAAAAATTACTGCCATGTACATAAACAAACACCATCCAAGGAAAACTAAAGACCAAAAGGACAGAAACAATTGTTGAATGTGGTTTATAAACTATGTTGTGTATGTGTAAGTTCTTTGAAACCAGTCTAGAAAAACTGATTAAATTTGGTGGCGAAACCAATTAATTTTAAATTAAATAATTAAGTAATATTGATTTGAAAAAATGCTATTCTGGAACTACTTTAGGTTGACTTTATTACAGGTGCATGTAACAGGTAGGTAGATGATATATTTTTAGATATTGCGACATTTTGTATAATAAACTTTGCTTCATTTCTTGGTCCTGTGACTCATTGGTGTGGTGCTGCATTTGATTCCTAAACATTCAAACATGTGCCATTATTTTTTTTATACAGAATTTGTACTTGTTCTCACAGAGATTATAAATCATAAATTATATTCAGATTTTCTGAAAATCGTCCCTATATTTTTAGGGGTGGTGGTGGTGAGTGGAATCCTGGTAAGACTAAATTAGTTTTATTTTTTGTGATGTAGTCAAATGTCAAACTGTCTGAAAGTGACAGATGTTTGTGACATTCATCTTGGGAAATCCGGCACAGACAATCTTTTTATTCCCATGGGTACATTATTGTATGTGGTGTTTAAGTGACAGATATTGAATTATTATAAGTATTATGAAAAAAGTTCAAAACCTTTATGTATTTTTAAATTAACTACAATTGCAGGACCAGGAAATTTTTTTCAGTTTTTCCTAGTATAAGTGTAATGTTATCAACCAAGGTTTCCTGTAACATAGTAAACATTTGTTGTATTGGTAGAATGCAATACCTTTTCTGGAGTCGGCCATTTTGGTTCTAATTCTTCTTTGTACAGTTTTCGTTTCAAGATCCATCCTAGTCCTGGCATGGTTTCTACTCTGTATAGCAACGCTGGATCCTCACACGTATGCTCATAACCCTGCGATGAGAAACAACATGAATATCAACATTTCAGTTATAGGCTAATACTTTAAAATTAAATTTCGCTGAAAAGATATTTTGGGTATTTTGTATGGAATTATTTTTCACTGATTTCTGACAAGTTGAATGTAAATATAGGAAAAAAGGTATATTCGCTGGATATTTTTTGCACTGAATCATTCCTTCAGTGAAATAAGCGAAAATTAATTCCAAATGAAAATAAAGTATTTTACAGTACTCTCTTTTATGACTGAGCTCTGAGATGATCAACAAAAACAGGTGACTATTATGGATACTATATACTGAGGATGTGTAGGTCAAAGTTCAAAACATAACAAAACAACTGTAATACATTGCAGATAATAAAACATGCC